GTAAGAAAACGATTTCCAAAGTTTCTTACTTAGTAAACTATTTCCCACATCTGTAAGACCTTTACTGCATGATGTTTTCAAAACCTTGGGGTCATCTGTAAGACCTTCAGTGCATGATGTTTTCAAAACCTTCGGGTCATCTGTAAGCCCTTCAGTGCATGATGTTTTCAAAACCTTCGGGTCATCTGTAAGCCCCTCAGTGCATGATGTTTTCAAAACCTTTGGGTCATCTGTAAGACCTTTAGTGCAGGATGTTTTCAAAAAGCCTTCGGGAGTTTTTTTTTTTGATGTTTTCAAAACCTTCGGGTCATCTGTAAGCCCTTCAGTGCATGATGTTTTCAAAACCTTCGGGTTATCTGTAAGCCCTGCAGTGCATGATGTTTTCAAAGCCTTCGGGTCATCTGTAAGCCCTTCAGTGCATGATGTTTTCAAAACCTTCGGGTCATCTGTAAGCCCTTCAGTGCATGATGTTTTTAAAGCCTTCGAGTCATCTGTAAGTCCTTCCGTGCATGATGTTTTCAAAACCTTTGGGTCATCTGTAAGCCCTACAGTGCATGATGTTTTCAAAGCCTTCGGGTTATCTGTAAGACCTTCAGTGCAAGATGTTTTCAAAGCCTTCGGTTCATCCATAAGACCTACAGTGCAGGATGTTTTCAAAACCTTCGGGTCATTCTTAAGACCCCTGTACAGAATGTTTTCAACATTTCCATCATACTCAAAATAAGCTAAATGAAAAAATTATTGTCTTTTTTCTTTGTTCTATTCTTGTTAACACAAGAATGAGCAAAGAGGGGAAGTTGTAGACATTAATTTTTCCATTTTAAATTATTATTATTATTATTATTATTATTATTATATATTATTATTATTATTATTATTTTATTATAAATAATTACAAATAAATACAAGCCCAATTTACAAAGAACCTGGCCCAGTTACACGATCCAAATATAGCATACCTGACCCAGATGACCCAGCTAAACCTTAAACCCAATTAGGGTTTGTATAATCTTAGCCAGCTGCCTCAGTTCACAGTCATTGGATCTGGCTATGATCCAGCGGTCCAGATGGCCACAACAGGAAACCCTAGGGTTAGGATACCCTAGGGACTACGGTCGCCGCTGCCAGGTGACCGAACCAGCTGCTGCCGATGCCACGCCAAGCCTTCTCCGAAGCCTCCAGAAGCCAGCTGCCCCGACCACGTCACTATGGTGAGTCACCACCATAGCTATGGTGACTCACAAAAAAGCCCCTCTTGGGACCGGTCCGAGGCAAGCGCTGGTGGAGGCTATAAAGCCATCACCAAACCTGCAAAATAAGGGAGAAGAGAGCAACCAACGGCAGAAAATGAAGCAAGAAAGAAAGAACAAGGCACGACAACAAGCACAACCAACAACACAACAACCAGAAACAAAATTAAAAGAGAAGAGAGGAACTTACTCTGTCGTCGGAGGCCTTCGAAACATCGCCGGAAACCTTCAGACTTCGAAGGTAAAAACCTAGATCTACTAAGATTAAGGAATTTTTGGGTAAAAATAAGGTTATATTTGGGTTTAGGGAAGTGAAGAGAATGTTTGGGAAAGTTTTTTAAATTTTTCGACCACCATATACGGTGGCCGGCGGCGGCGATCGGTCGGAGTACGGCTGCCGACCGGAGACCGGACTCCCTCCGGTGTAGAGAGAAGGCAGAGAGAAAATCTTCTCTCGTCTAGAGAGAGAAAGAAAAAAAAAAGAAATGAATCTTTGGCCCTTAAAGGTCGGATATAGGGTATTTATACCCAATATGAAATGACACCGTTTCAGGGCGTAACTGTGCATTTTGGTAAACCCCATTCGCGACCCTTCAAATTTTATAAACTTCCATTTTAGTCATTGGAATCAATTTCTGCACATATTAATTTTGTCTTCAAGTTTTACTTTATTACAAGATAGTCACTGCAAGTTATTTTAATATATTTTAATTTGGTTTTCTAATTTTTAATTAATTTATATTATCGTCACTGCTTATATATGTTTATATATTTAGGGTAAATAACCAATTTAGTCCTTTATCATTTAATTAATATTTATTTTAATCCGATTAATTAATAAAGGATAAATTACACTGTTAGTACTTAAATCTCATAATATTTCAAACTAGAGTTGTAAATTTTAATATTTTACATTTTATTTATGTTATTTTTAATTTTATTTATTTTAGTCACTATTTAATTGCAATTTATTTTTATTATTATCTTTTTTTTCAATATGTTTAATTTAATATTAATTATTATTTTATTCATATAAATATATATATATTTGATTAAACGATAATGTTTATTTATTTTTAAATATTAAGAAAGGGCGTCTTAAAACAACTAGTCGTCCTATTCTGGTATTTTAAAAAATAAATAAATATCTTATTTATAAAAATATATATATTTACTTCATTTTTATTATTTTTAATTATTATATTCTTCTTAATATTTATTTATTTTTAATATCAAAGAAATGGGTTGTCTTAAAGCAACTAGAAGTCCTATTCAGATATTTTTTAAATAAATAAATAAATATTGTATTTAAGCAAATATATAAATATATAGTTATTTTAGTTTTATTCAAATTATTGTATTTTTCTTCATTTTATATTTATTTAATTTTAGTCATATTAATATATGTATATTAATAAGTATTATTTAATTAATTGCACCAATTAATTAAATAATAATATTTATTTATTTTTAATTATTAAGAAAATACGGTCTTAAAATAACTAGACGTCTTATTCTGATACTTTAAAAATAAATAAATATACTACTTATAAAAATATATATTTATTTCATTATTTTTAGGAAAATTATTATATTCTTATTAATATTTATTTATTTATTAATATTAAAGAAAAGAGAGTCTTAAAGCAACTAAATGTCATTTTCTGATATTTTTAAATAAATAAATATCATATTTACAAAATTATATATATATATATATATATATATATATATATATAAATATTTTTCCTTAAAAATGTCAGATTAAATTTGAAATAACCTAATCATAAATTAAATTTATATTTAAATTCTTAAATTCTACTATTAGAGACAATTTATAATCGACAGTGACCAATTTTGGGCGTTGTGGGGTGTTAATCCTTCCCCAAACGTAATCGACCACGAATCCCTTTTTATTATTAAAAAAAGAACGAAATTTTTGGTTAAATGTAGACCAATTTATCTTTTAACTGATGTTTTCTTAAAAACTCTTTTAAAAGATATTTTTTAGGTATTCGACATACCTTACTCATAAAGGTCGATGAAACTCCCAAAACATTTAATAAAAATCATTTATTTATTAACATTATTTTTCCGTTAAGTAAAATTTCGTACTCGGACGAAAACCGACTACGACATATGTCATCGCCCGCCAGGAACCGACTTTCTCCCAGCCTCTTGTCGTAAACCTCCAACACTTTTTTCAGCTTAGCCTCATTTTGGCTGATCAGGGATTGGTCTTGCTTAAGCTTCATACGCGGTGCAAACGCAAGCTGGAACACCAGAACTGAGCTCGGCGGGTTAAAGCTCTTCCCTTCAGCTTTCACCCATTGATCTATGGAAGCTTTCGCCAATATGATGGTTCCGTACAGCCCTTTGTTCCCTTCTCTGCGTACTTTTCACACGCGTACCTGCAAATTGCCCTTACTCTTCAATCCCCAAACCAAAGATTTTAGCTTTGAATTTTAAACACAGAAATTTTTCAAGTCTAATCGAACTCAGTTTTGATTTTTTTCGAATTTAGTCAAGTTCAACAATACTCTAGCTCCACTCGACTCATTCACAGTCCGGGTGGAATTACAGTAAAACAAAAGGCAAGTTGAAAAAGATTACCAAAGAGGGAGATGGCTTCATTTTTGAAAGCCGGCACTTGACCAAAGGGCTGTTTTGAAACCAAGAATTCAGTGAACGTAAATGGGTTTAGTTAAATCAGAGGAAGCAGAAAATGAATGAATGGATGGACCTGAATCTTGAGGAAATCGGGGGTCTTGTGCTCGCCTTTGGCCATGTTAACGGGGTTAAGCTGGAATGGAACATCTTTCTCGATGAGACAAGAAAGGACTGTAGATACTACGGAGGACAATGGGGGCCATGCACTTTCACCGGAGTTGTCATTAGGAAATGCAGTCGACGGTAGTGCTTGTTGATCACTCCACCATATAAAACGAGTTTGCACCTCATCCTCCTTTCACTTTATCCCTTGCTTAATGAGTTCAGTTAAGTGGGTCCTCGTAGGGTGGACCAAAGTCATAAAAGAGAAGGTAAATGGGTGATATGTACCGACAGGATTATGGGCTTTGTTGGGCTACATTTGGATTTTCATTTCTGTCACCCCTATGTTTTCTCTATAGTCTTGAATATGAAATAGGCGTGGAAAATAATTCCATTCAATTTAAAAAATTAAAATTTTTGACTTATTCTGTAATGAATGCTTAAAATGTAATCATTTTATAATAATAATAAATTATATTTTAAAAATTAAATTATGTATTAGAAATAATGTTTTTGCTCTCGTTATTTAGCCTATTGAAAATTTACTGTTTTAAGAGATATCCTAAACAAATGTCATTTGCTTCAAACTCTACTTGATTTTTATAAATCTATTTAAAAGGTTATCTTGAATTTTGAGAGATGAGTAGTACCACCAAAATTAACTCAATCGAGCTAAATTTAGCAGAAATACAGTAAATAGTTTAATTTTATTAAGTTTAGGTAATATACATCTAGCTGCGTCGTTGCATCAAGCGCAAAGATTTTATTCCATATTTAGTTTTTTTTTTTTTATTTTTTAGTTTATTTATAAGAAATTTTAACGTACGACAACTTTAATATACGGTTAAGAAAATACGTTATCGATTTTATTATATTTTTTAACAAAATAAAAAAAAATTATCAAAAAAATTATTATTTCTATTGATTTTATTATTATTTAGCATGCTACCGGTTTTGTTAATCCATAAAGCTCTCATGTGAAATGTGAAGAGGAAAAATGGAAATAATGCGAGAAAACCACGCAGCGAACCAAAGCGAAATTGAATTGATGCTCTCCCTTCCCTACCTCCAATTCGTTTTCTGCTCTGCAAGTTCTCAAATTTAAACCATTTTTTGTTTTCATTTTACATTCAAAAGCCAAACAAAATCACAAGTCAATAGGCGGAGGAAGGAGAAGGAAGGAGATGATAACGCGATCGAATTTAGCAGAGCAATTGAGGGAGTATCAGCTTCGATCTAAGCATGATTGGTCTTCCGTTTCGTTTTTCTCATCGACGTCCAATCTCTCATCTTATAGGTATACCCCAATTCAATGATTTGCTTTCGATGTTCTTGTTTCGAATTTAAGGTTTGACCATTTAGGAATTAGGTTTTTTTCCCCTGGTTTTGATACAACATCATCTTCGCACCTAACGTGCTGCTATGAAACATTTTCCGTTTGAACTTTGATCGAGGCGTTACAGATTTTCCAGGAGAAGTAGGATTTTACAGGATCAGTTGCCTAAAGGGATTATATCTTTTTGAAAATTGGGTAAAGGGATTAGCTCTAGCTTCTCGGGTGTAATTTTAAAAAAATAATAATAATTTCGCTTCTCTATTGATTTCATTTTGTCAATTTACTGATACATTTACTAGTAATGGGAAAAATGGGAAAGGAAAAATGCTTGAAAGATTCTCGTTGTTTTTATATTATCTTTTCAAAATACAATTGAAATTTCAGGTGGTCACAGAAATCAAAACTGACTCTGGATTTTCATAAACTGCTACTTAGTAACTTCTTCTGATTCGCATTAGACCTCAAAATGAAAATAAAAGACTGTTTGAAATCGTTGATTCATCTTAATTTTCATCTGAAATTAGATCACTTAGCTGCTGAAGGCAGCCTGCCGGAGGGGATGTGGCATATTTAAAAATTTCCTTCTATTGACATTTGGTTAATGCTGTATGCCAACAATTTTAAGCTTAATTGTTAACGCTTGCTATAGTAGAATGCTTGTCAAACTGCTGGGAATTGGTGATTTACAGATTGTTTGGATATGCTCAGATTATTGGGTTTAGGCTCGGAGTCCTTAAGTGCCAGAAGTTGAAAATAATAATCTGTTGATGTTATAAGATTTCGTATTACTTATTCATGAATCATGGAAACTTTACTGATTTGATATGTTGGTACTTGGTACTTTGGCCTAGTTACAACAAGTTTGACATGTTTATAAGATTATGATTTAGATTTGTAAATTATTTGACACTGTGAATTCCAATTTTTTGTTGGGAAAATAGAATGAAGAACGAGACGTCTAGTCGGTCTAGAGTACCTGTTTTATTCAGATACTGTCATTTCATCTTCATTCTGCTATTTGTTTCTCTCTGTCTCGGCAAATGACCAATTCTGATAGTTGTGCTTTCTTTATGCTTAGCGGATGCAGGGTGGATGTTATGGTCTTTGCTATATGGGAACTCGTCATTTTAGCTTTCCTGGTTTTTTCAGCTGTTTCTTTATATTTTAGGCATATGCAACCTGCCTTCATCCTAGCATGCGTCACAATACTATTGCTTCTCTGCATGAAAATCATAAAGTACGTGAGGTTGGCCAGGAAAAAGAAAAGAAGGATGCTTCTTCCATTATCTATTTAGAACAACGTGAAAGCTTGAACAAGGTTAAATGGGACCAACATGATTAGTTGATCGTTGCGTTAGGGTGCCACATGCACTGGTCTATTGTAAATGTAACTGTGCCTGAAGCTAGCTGGTGAAGGAATGTGATTGGAGATGATCACCTCAAAAAATGGTGAACCAAGGTGGGATTTCTGATTTGAAATTGAAAGTCTGGATGCTCTAATTGAACATATAGCAGTGAATTTTAAGGTATGGTTTCTTTCTCAGTAACTTTTATGCAAGGGTCAATGGAACTCCAATCCAAGTCGGAAGATAGTGAGCATTATTAGTTTCATTTTCTCATTTGATTGACATCCCAGGATAGAAATGGACGTGGTGAGTGATCGAATCAATTTCTTTTTTGTATAATGTACCCACAGTTGTTTTGCAACAGAACAAATACCATGCAGGACTTAAAGTTTTCACAGTTGATAGCAAACAGATTATTGCAAACAGAAGCATCATATTTATACCGCCGTTGTTGTTTCAGTGATGCAAATTGAGAAGAAAAGCCTGAATTAAAAGCGATCAAAGTTTGGAGGTGGCTAGCTTTATTAGATCCTTCCTCAGAATCTTGCCTGATGGATTCTTGGGTATTGAAGCTACGAGTGCCACTTTCCTTATTCTTTTGTATGGGGCAACCTGTTCATTTCATTTACCACCATTATCTCAGTTTCCTGTGCTTTATAAATTAACTCCATTGCATTCTGTAGTCTGGTTAGTGCTCGAAGCATACCTGTTTAGCCACGAACTCCATGATGTCGGTCTCCAATATATTGCTTCCGGGTTTTCTCACCACATATGCCATCGGAAACTGCCCAACCAACTTATCAGGAAACCTGAGATGATATGCAAAAGGGATTAGATCAAATACACATGATTCTCTTTAGCATCTATCAACATAGTTTATATAGGAGGAAAACATAATTAGGGGATGAAGAGAACTCACGGAATAACGGCAGCATCTAAAATTTCAGGGTGGGTAAGGAGCAATGCCTCAAGCTCTGCTGGAGGAACCTGCCAAATCAAGATTTAAGTAGCCAGGTCAATAAGAGGTGCATGAACAAAAATAGCTTCATCTTTGATTCTTCGTAATAAAAAACAATGTAAACCAGTAGGGGCACCTGATATCCCTTGTACTTGATCAGCTCCTTCAACCTGTCAACTATGAAAATGAATCCATCTTTATCAATATAGCATAAATCTCCGGTCCTCAGCCAACCCTTAGGATCAAGAGTCGATGTCGTTGCTTTTGGATTGCTGAAATAACCTACATTCAACGGAAAATAACATCAGAACATAGTACTGTTCTTATCGCTTCCAAATCTCTTCGGAAAACTGATCTCCGCTTTGCACAATCAAGATTTTCAGGGGATATCTTTGCAGTTAAAGTTTCAAAAAAAAATCTCTGCAGACATGACTTTCAGAGCCTTGCACCTCTCAGGAGATCAAACGACTGTTTGACATGACTTATAAGTCTTAAGTAAGGTCAAAATCAATTGACAATTGACAATTAATCACATTAATTAAGTTTATGTACTTTGTCTGTCTACAAATAATTATTATGATTTTAAGCCTAACATTAACATTAAGAATTGTTAAAAACCTTCTCGATTAAGACCAACAAAAAGATGGCGTATAAAATTTGAATTTCAACCTTTATTTCTCACCAAACAGAATTACAATATTAATCAGCGATTGATCAATTATCAATTGTAACTCTCCACGTAAAACCAGAAACATATTAACTGCCTATAGCTACCTTAATCCATTTGTTCCATCAATTTAATAATAGGCAATCAACTCTCATCTGTATAGCAGCTATTGTCCGTGATAAAGGGGATATTTAAAGCAAAAAAAAAACACTTAATTATGCCTTAAGTAACAATTTTTAATCTAATGAAATATAAAATAAACAAATGCCCAGATCCTTATCCCTCAGATTCGCATTTGTATGAATCAATCCTACCAGCTAAAAAGGGGCATTTTACTAATTCTAATACCGTCAAAGGAAAATCATTAGCATAGTGACAGTATTTTTTTTTTGTGAAAAAAGCATAGTGACGGTACCTTTCATAACGGAGGGACCCTTTAGCCAAAGCTCACCCGTTTGATTCACCGTTAAAGCCTTACCACTCTCCGGATCAACTACCTTAGCCTCCATGCTCGGTGACAACAACCCCGCCGTACCATACCTCCGGCTCTCCTCCAACGAATCCGTCGACGCACCGATCCCAGTCGACTCGGTCAAACCGTACCCCTGAAGAATCTTTACATTCGGGTACTTCTCCAGAAATCCCTCGATCACTTCTCTACTCAGTGGCGCACCACCAGACAGTGCTGAGTGCAACGAACTCGTATCATACTTCTTTCGTATCTGATCGGCGGAGTTTACCATCGCCACCAGAATCGGCGGCACGAGAGGGAGGTAGGTGGCGCGGTAGTTCTCGATTGTTGACAGCATGTCGTGCATCTCGAACTTGGATAAAACTATGACCGTCGACCCAGACGCCAGCAGCCCGGTGGCGAACGCTACTAAGCCGTAGATGTGAAACATGGGAACCGTGCAGATGAACCTCTCTCCTACTTCTAGGCTGAACCTGTTTATCACTGTTTGTACCATAGCTATCAGGTTTCTATGAGATGAAACCACCCCTTTGCTGGCACCGGTTGTACCGGACGAATAAAGCAGAGTCGCCGTGTCGTCCTGGGTGACTCGGTCCCTGACTCGACTCCCACTCGGTTCCGTCTTCGTCATCTGATGTAAAGTCGTCACAATCTTCGCTCCCCCAGCGTCACTGTTCACGTGATCGTCTAGTAGCACGATTGGAATGGCGGACCCGGCTAATTTAGGGAGAAGTTGAGAGACGGTAAAGGCGAGAACCGGCTTTGAATCTGCGATTTGTTTCCCGATTTCACCAGCGGTGTTGAGAGGGTTGGTGGTGGTTATGATAGCGCCGAGGGACATAACAGAGAGGCAAACAATGGGGAAGAAGATGGAGTTGGGTGAAAGGAGTAAGACGACGTGGCCTTTCCGGATACCCATATCGGAAAGACACGTGGAGACGGAATCAACGGACTTCCAAAGCTCGGAGAATGTGAGGTGGCGGCTGGTGGTGGCGTCGATGAAGGCAATTTGACCGTGGTGGGCTCGAGACGAAATGAAAGTGGTGACGTCGAGGGAGTGGTTCTTGGGGAGGGGAATGGTGTGGCGCTTGCTGTAGAAGGTGGAATTGGACCGGCAAAACCCACTCCTTGGATCGATCGCCAAACTCATATTTTCTGCCATGGATTTCCTCTTACAATGCTTCACTTTAGATCGCTTTACTTCTCTATGTCAAAGGTTCAAATAGGGTCCGCTGCTAAAAGAATAAAAAATTACTAGGCTTATGTAATAGAGTATAATAATAATTTGGGTAATTTACACCGTTCTCATTAAACTTTATTCTCTCTACTATTTTGTTTACCTAATTTTATTTTTTCTATTTTACTCATTAAATTTGACAGATTAAATTATTTTATTCACCATGCCTTTAAGTTGATGATGTGGCTTTTTTATTAATATAAAATGATATATATATATATTAATATTTAATTATGAAATATAATATTTAAGGGTAAACTATACATTTAGTACCTAAACTATCAGTTTTAGTCTGTTTTAGTACATAAATTTTTTAATCTTTTCAAAACTATACATTACGTTTAGTTTTCATTTTATTTTAGTACCCGTCAATAAAATTTTCCGTGTTTAGTATATAAACTATCAATTTGATTCGTTTTAGTACCTAAACTTTCAATTTTTTTAAATTTAATGTTAAATTTTCAATGAGTTACTGAAATGAAAAAAATAAAGTTTTTAATAGCAAGATACTAAAATGAAACAAAACTAAACTTTTAGGTATGATTTTGAAAAAATTGAAAGTTTATATATTAAAATAGATCAAAACTGATAGTTTAGGTATTAAATATGTAATTTACCTAATATTTAAAATAAAATAAAAATAAAAATTCTTAAATTTTATTCCACACCCTTTCTCTTCCCCTTCGAATTCATCTTCTCTTGCTCAAAAATTCTCCACCATTTCTATTCCTCTTCTAATCTCTCCATCCCCAATCCCAACAACATCGATCATCAAATCTTTTATAAGTTCCAACCGTCCCAACATCATCTCCATGCTCTTATTGATTGGGTTTTAAGAGTAAATACCAAACTTTGGGATAATGGATATTGGGTATTTCAAAGGCTAAAAAGATAAAGGGAAATGGGAGTTGAAATCAAAGCTTGGGTTTTAAGGGTCAAGACTAGATTTTTAATTTCCAAATTCAGATTAATTTCAAATCATGGTTTGATTTAAGGGGTGGGTGAGGGTCATACAATGTCTCTTTTAGCAAAGACCAAATTGAAGGAAAAAAATGTAAAGCTGTGAGCCTTTGGGGTTAAAGATGACAGATTCTTAAGGGGGTTTTACTCAAAAAGCTTTGGACAAATGAGGAAAATCATAACAACAGAAAAATCAGAGGAGGGAGTCGAAGAAGGAGGCGAGGGAGTGGAAAGACAAATCTTAGAGACGTGAAGAAAATGACGTCGGAGAAAATTCTGATGGTTGAATAAAAGTAGAGTCAAAAGTAAATGGAGAGAAATGAGATTTGGTTATGTAACACCTCAACCCGTATTTGAGTCAAATACGAGTCTGAGACATCACATCAACTGTTCAAAACATGTATATTTATAAAAACAGTAAAAATTTAAACTTTCATTAACAAAAAGTTATTCTTTTACATCAATATATTTAAAAATATTATTAAACTCAATCAGAGCATACATACTTATCGACTTTGTTTACATGCCAACCTATTTATTACATATCAAGACATACTGTGTAATTTACTTCAGATCTGATCTTTGAGCAGAGATATGTTGTTCCTTTGAACTTAGCTTTGATCATCCTGCTTCTCAGTACCTACGTGTAAATCACTTACACGCTAAGTCATAGACTTAGTGAGACATAAAATATAATAATAATGAATTCATGAAACATACTGATACATGCATCACAAGGCTCACATTAAATGAAGAAGTAATAACTCTTCCAAATGATTCACTCGTCCAAGCATTGGAAAAGAAGATCAGAACAGAAGTAGACTTGCGATGACTTTTTGAATAGGATCCTGATCTTATTTAGTTAATATGTCTTCTGGATATACGACCGTCTATCTCTTATCTTTCCAACGGTTCTTGAATCGCATCAATCCGATATCGGGAACTCAAGATATGACCATTCTACTGAAGACGGTGCATGCAGAAAATCTTATACGGGATTAATACGAGATTTTGTAAATATTACAAATTTTCAATATTTTTATTGATTATTTGTAATATAACTTAATATAGGATGATGTATTAGCTTTTAGGATTAGATTTATTATTTTATTAGGAATTAAAGTTGGGTTAAAATATTATTTTTAGTTATTATTATTTATTAGGAATTAGAGTTAAGACATATTAGTTTATTATTTTATTCATTAGTTATTTAGGACCTTTAGAACTCAGCCCCTATATAAAGGAGGTTTCATTGAACTTTGTAAATCAAGTTTTCTTTGATTAATAATACAATGAGAGTTCGTTTTTGCAAGTGTTGATTGCCTTGTGCCTTCGAAGCTTCTTCTCCTTGAGTTCTTTCAAGTTCTTGTAAGGGAGATTAATATTCACACTCTAATTTACCTTTTCATTACGACTAGGAGGGTTGGTTAGAGTCATATTATCGTGTTTGCCTTTTCATTGCATCTAGGAGGGCTCGATAGGACATTATCCATCGATTTTCCACATATCCATCCACGCCATCAATCATCTTTATCGTTCACCTTCATAAGGGAGATCTTTTGATTTCTTGGTTATCTTATTTTATTTGCAATTCCTTTATCTTTTCTTTATTCTTATTTTAATCTTGTTTCTTACCTTGTTTCCAGTACCTAAAAGAAATCCCAAGAACCCTAATTGCTACCGCCACCTTCCCCTATTCATTCCCCATTGTTCTTCATCGAGTCTAGAGCTTTCTAGGTTTGATTCTTCAATAAGAGCAACGTTCATTAACCCGTCACCGCTTCGCTATCAATTGGTATCAGATTTGGGCCGACTCTTGCAAAGAAGCAAGCAATCTTGTTTGTTCTTGCACACAAAACCGTCAAGGTACCCCAACGGAGCTAGTTCACAAAAGATTCATCATTTCAGGTTCTTGTTATTTAATTTTAATTTAGATTCAAATCATTATTGTTAGTTTGCTATTTTTCAAAAAAAAAAGAAAAAGGCTAAAAAAAAAGAAAAATCAAAAAGCCAAAAAAGTCACAAAAATTGAAAAATTGCAAACGAAGGAATATAGGGTTGATATTCTCTATATCTCATATTCATCCTAAGATTAATATCCAGTCTAAATTTCAGCCCAATCGGAGTTCATTAGAGCCTTCAAATACATTCTTCAAGTTTCAGCGGCAGATTCGGTCTAGGATCCTGTCGAATTTCTTGAAAATTCTACAGGTGGAATGTCGTGGTGAAAACTTCCAGATTGCAACTTCATATATTGAAGATAATTTACGCAAAAAATCAGAATATTTGGAGATCAAGAACACCTTCGAACAAAGCGATCAAGAAAAACAGATTGTTTGAGGACTCACCGTTCAACAGAGTCCACTGGATACTACTGAAGGTATTTTGTTCTTAAATTTTACAGGTGGTTTCTTGACGCATCAAAAGACATTCAAGAATTTTTCCAAAATTTTTGGACACCGGTAACCCCCTCAAAAACGTTGCTCAAGTTGATCAAGCGTTTTTCAGGTTTCTGGGTTGGTTCTTTTTTTCTTTGACTCTTAGTACTTTAGGTTCTTTTGTTTTTCCTTTTTATTGTTCTTTTGCATTATCTAACACATTATCTTTTCTTGTGTTAGTAGGATTAAAGAGTTTGCATACTTCTTCCTTCCTTCCATTCTCGTTCTCTTGGAGACTAACCATTGTTTGGCCTCTTAGAACTTTTAGGTTTTCTTATCGCCTTTGCTAGTAATCAAACTTCGATACGAATTGTGGAAGACTACTTGGTAAAGTGAGTTTTAAAGAGTATAAGATCGGCTTACTTGCCTCTCGTTGTGTTACTTTCTTGGAGTGACTTGTGAGGTTTCTTGTTTTGTTGAATTTTCTTTCTTTTATTTTTATTTTACTTTAAAATTTTCTTTCGAGTGTTATGATTTCAGGATGGGCAACAATAACAACAAGACACTTACGGCTATCTTAGCCGCACTTGCTCGACTCACGACTCAAGTTGAAAGATTTGATGAAATCGTGAGAGAATGACAAGAACCACAATTGGATCTACCAAACCAGAATCCAAGACCAAACAATGCTGAACTTTTGGTATCCGGGCGAGAACAACCACGTTTCCAAGCACCCGAACTCTTTGCAAAACCAAAGTTCACGATCTCGTCTTTCAAAGGAGGCAACGATCCAGACAGGTACATCGAATGGGAAGGAAAAGTTGATCTCATGTTCGCATACCATGACTGCCCCCAAGCTAAACAAGTTCACCTCATCACCATACAATTCGAAGGATATGCTCGAACTTGGTGGATGCAAACAAAGAAAAAGGTCCAGAACTTCCAAATTCCAAAAATTACTTCTTGGAACGACCTCAAGCAAACCATGAGGAAGCGATTCCTACCGGTACATTATACACGAGAAGTTAAACTACGACTACACCGACTTCAATAAGGTAGAAGTTCAGTTGAAGACTACTACAAGGAGATGATGTCTTTACTCGATAGGGCTAACATAACCGAAAAAAAGAGGTCACCGTGTCAAGATTCGTCGTCGGCTTAAACTCAAACATCACTGATCTTCTTGATCTCCAGGGGTACGAAAACCTTGAAGATACACTAAAGAAAGCAATGACAATCGAAGCACAAATCCAAAGGAGATTCCGATTCATAGAACATAACCAAGGTAATCCTTCAAATCCTTCCTCATCTTCTACTCCATATTCTCAAAAAAGCTAAGAGATGACAAACATGACAAGGACAAAGAACGACCAGCAAAGAATGACACACTTCCAGCCCCTAAATATCAAATGATAATTTGTGAGGAGGTAGGGAAAGCAAAAAAAAGAAAAAGATGAGAAAGAGGCAAAAGCAAAAGAGGTCACTAGTTACAAAAGCCAAAAGAATAATGACCCATAGGAGGTGAGTGAACCTAATTGTGAGAAGAAAAGAGTGACTCAAAATCTATGTACGAGCACAAAAGAATTGAGAGAGAACCTTCTTTACAAACAACCTTCCATTATTGTTCACTTTAAGGAATCAATTGTTTCGATTTCTAACATTAACAAGGATTTTCCTAGTGTGTTTTCATGTTTATTACAGGATTTTCGAGAAGTGTTAGGTGATTCACCTAACGAATTACCACCAAAAAGAGGAAAACTATATCAAACCAATCTAATTCAAGGTTCTATTATACCTCGTCAAACATACAATCTTGAAGAAACCAAAGAGTTAGATTTGTTACAAAAAGGCTACATCAGGAAAGCCTTAGTCGTGACGCCATCTTAATGACGAAATATGACTTGAAAAACTCCACAGGCTTTATAGTTTGTGCACAGGTAATCCATGTAAAGGATGAGAAAGTAAAAGCAACACGAGACTAACCCACACCATCTCCCATCGCCAAGAGTTATCGAATAGTGCTAGGTGACCCTCCTGACGGGTTACCACCTGAAAGCCCTAATCATTATACCATATCAATAAAGATTCATGATTTACGAGAGTCTAAAGATTCGAGGACGAATCCTTTTGAGGAGTGGGGGAATGATACATGCACCAGAGTCTATAATACATGCTTCTTTGGACTAATGTTTCTATTCGAACCTATTAGAAGAACAAAGTCTCGAAGATTCAAAGCATATCTATTCGATTCGAGGTTGAATCTTTTTGAAGAAAGGGAGGATGATACATGCATCACAAGGCTCACATTAAAGGAAGAAGTAATAACTCTTCCAAATGATCCACTTGTCCAAGCATTAGAAAAGAAGATCAGAACAGAAGTAGACTTGCGATGACTTTTTGAATGGTATCCTGATCTTATTTAGTTAAGATGTCTTCTGTAGATACGACCGTCTATCTTTTATATTTCCAATGGTTCTTGAATCGCATCAATCCGATATTGGGAACTCAAGATATGACCATTTTACTGAAGACGGTGCATGCAGAAAATCCTATACGGGATTAATACGGGATTTTGTAAATATTACGAATTTTCAATATTTTTATTGATTATTTTTAATATAACTTAATATAGGATGATGCATTATCTTTTAGGATTAGATTTTTTATTTTATTAGGAATTAAGGTTGGGTTAAAATATTATTTTTAGTTATTATTATTTTATTAGGAATTAGAGTTAAGACATGTTTAGTTTATTATTATTTTATTCATTAGTTATTTAGGACCTTTAGAACTCAGCCCCTATATAAAGGAGGCTTCATTCAACTTTGTAAATCAAGTTTTCTTTGATTAATAATACAACGAGAGTTCGTTTTTGCAAGTGTTGATTGCCTTGTGCCTTCGAAGCTTCTTCTCCTTGAGTTCTTTCAAGTTCTTGTAAGGGAGATTAATCTTCACACTCCAATTTGCCTTTTTCATTACGACTATGAGGGTTGGTTAGATCCATATTATCGTGTTTTCCTTTTCATTGTGACTAGGAGGGCTCGATAGGACATTATCCATCGATTTTCCACATATCCATCCACGCCATCAATCATCTTTACCGTTCACCTTCATAAGGGAGATCTTTTGATTTCTTGGTTATCTTATTTTATTTGCAATTCCTTTATCTTTTATTTATCTTGTTTTAATCTTGTTTCTTACCTTGTTTCCAGTACCTAAAAGAAATCCCAAAAACCCTAATTGCTACCGCCACCTTCTCCTATTCATTCCCCATTGTTCTTCATCGAGTCTAGAGCTTTCTAGGTTTGATTCTTCAATAAGAGCAACGTTCATTAACCCGCCACCGCTTCCTTATCACATGCACTCTTACCATTTAATCATGACAGTTCAACTTGCATGTATCTATTATACTATATTTATATGATCATTTTATGCACATATAAAACTTATATTCTTATGCCAGTTTCACTTCAATTTATATTTGGATTGCCTATGTATATTATTGAGAACTTAAGGTATATGAGTAAATTGAGGTTGTGCACAATTATGATGTCACCACTGCTCGTATAAATGTCCTGGAGGGCCAGTCCATGTGTTCCGAAGAACATAGGTAATCAGTCCATATATCCCGAAGAACATATGTAATTAGTCTATATGTCCCGAAGAACATAGGTAATCAGCCCATATGTCCCAAAGAACATAGGTAATCAGTTCATATGTCCCGAAGAACATAGTTAATCAATTCATATGTCCTAGAGAACATAGGTAACCCTCGACTCTTGGTATGCCAACTATACCCCTAGCTCTCATATCACATAACATGGGCACTATCATTATGATTCATATAATTTCTATAATTATCACATATTTCTTCTCTTTTGTCACATACCACATGTATGTGTAACCATCTATCTCATATCATATAACATATATCACATTTCCATGTACTCATGCACACATAAGAATCACATAACATTTTATAAGTTACTTCTTACCATAGTAACTCTGTCACTGGCTCATCGCAAGCCAATGTTTGATCAATAACATAAGTACAAATTAAATTGCACTCACCTTGGCCTCACTTAGTTCCCAATTCCACTTCTAATATTTCTTCTTTGAATCGAATCCTAATTCGTTGATCATTCCAGAATTTTCTTACATTCGATGTCTACATAATCATACATTCATGCATATCATTATTCCAAATAACATACTCCAATATTTCGTTTCTTAAACTAAAGGAAAGGCTACTTTCATTTATTATTTAAGGTAGGTATCGGTACACTCCATAGTGTATCGGTACATTCCTTAACTAGTGTATCGGTACACTGCCTATGTATCGGTACACAAATTACATTCGATGTTTTTCATTTCAAGGGGGTATCGATACACCTCCTGTGTATCGATACACTTATTGCATTCGATGTTTTTCATTTAATAGTGTATCGATACCTGTTGAAGGTGTACCGATACACTTTTCCTAGTAATCATATTTTAGACACGAAAATTCACTCTTTTCATCTTCTACACTTCATGTTTCCTCCCCTTTCATGTTCTTAACTCACATACTCATGCTTAAACTGATTTATACTCATTTATCACATCTTAAACCGTAAAATCCTATTCTCCATATAGAAATCAATAATCATACCAATTTTTCAATATGCTCTAAATCCAATTTTATCACTTCATATCTCTTAATTAAGTTGATGACAATTCAAATTTAGTTTCAAATTCAACTTATCAATTTTTTCCAGAAATTCATTTAAAAACCTCTTATATTTAATCTTTCATAACTTCTTCATCTTTTGATTTTAAGACAACTTAAGCTTTCCTTAAGCTTAAGTATCACTTAAGGATCAAAACCCATACTTAAAATCAACAAATAATCAGCTAATCAGAAAACTCACATTTGCTCCCTTGGGTTCACGGTGGAGAAGAAGAAGAAAGAAGAGATTTCTGGAGAAATCTCTCAACTTTATCCCGTATATATCCTTATCTTATCCATTTCTAAGTCAAATGACCATTTTGCCCTTTAATTCCTTTAATAATTACTAACAACCCTTCATAACTTATTTCCAAATAAGTCATTGAACTATTCAACTATTCTACTTTAATCACTAAATTCTAAAGTTTTACAATTTAGTCACTAACCCGTAGTTTGGGATGTTACAGCTTCATTCATGTTGAAGATAGAAAATGGAGAAAAATGAGAGGAATGAGAAAAAGAAAGAAGAGAAAAGGGATAGAATGAAGAAAAAAAGTATACATTTTTAATTTAAACCAAAACAACGTTGTTTTAATTTAAATGTCATTTTTATTAGAGATACAAAACAACTTTGTTTTAATGTCGTGTGTCATTTTATAACGCCGTTAATTATTAACGGAGGGTGACCAAAACATGAGTAATGTCAAAATTCAGTGAGCAAAATAGAAAAAATTAAAAGTTGGGTGAACAAAATAGGAAAAAAAATACAATTTAGTGAAAAACATTGTAATTTATCCTAATAATTTTAATCCTCAAAATTTATATAATTTGTTAATTTAATTTTTAATTAAAATAATTTAATAAATTTAACCTTTTATAGTTTAATTTTTATCACTATTTTATGATAAAATATAAATGATATAACTATTATTTTGATCAAATAGATTTAATATTATAAAAAATTAAAATAAGAGAACTAGAAATATAAAAGATTAAGCTTACTAAATTATTTTAAATTAAAATGAAATTAAAAGAATATATAAATTTTAGTAACTTAAAAATTATTATACTAATATACATTAAACATTCATTTTAATTTTTAACAATAAAATATTCTATTTTTAATAATATTTCAACTGAATAAGACATTTCAATTTAAAAAATAATTTATTTATTATTAAATTTAAAAGTGACCTTGAGTGTAATTTACCCAATTTAATATGGTAAGGGTGTGAACTGTTTTAAACATAACCGTGGTCGGAAGTCATAGTTGGCAAGATAAGACTAGTTTAAATTTGTTTTAGTCACGTGAGAAATCATGTAATGTTCATTTTCATGCATGGGTTGTTAGTTGGCACTCCGTCTTTTCTGACCTGTTTTTCCCCTTTATTTTAATTAAATATGATAGTATTCAATTCGGACAAAATGGCTTAGATAATGTTAAGTGGAGTTTTTAAATTCTTAATATAATCTAATCTGATGATTATTTTGTCATTTATGGTGAATTTCACAGTATCAATTTAAAGACGTTAGGTGTTTTACGTATCTTCAAGTTAAATATAAAGACTTCACAGTTGCATGACATTTTCACACAAATAAAGAAGATCCCACGATTGCATGGTGTTTTCAAGCAAATGGAGAAGACCTCAAAAGTACACGGCGTCTTTAGACCAATAAAAAGCCCTATTTCATGAAATAATATGATGGATACCTTATATGGAAAAATTATTTTTCCCACATATAGATATCTTTGTAAATTATAACTACTACCATTCTCTAACCGCAATGAATCTTCTAGGTAGGTGGGTTTCCAACATAGGCGGAGCTCTGTTCATCTTGACTTTGTAAAAATTTTATATATTCGATAGATTTTAATTTAATAATATTTTAGTTCATGTAAAATTAATCATTTAAATCTAAAAATATAAGAATATATTAAATATTTAATCAAGTATATGTCAAACTAAAGAAGAAGAATCCCATTAGCGACGAATCCATTGAAGGATGAGGATGGGTATGTGTCCACCCTAAGACTCGATTTTTCTTTTATTAGTCACATATTTTATTAATAGTGTTAACCCTATAATTTTATTTTATTCATCCTAAAATCTAAATTTTCTTCGACTAGTCACCTATTTTATTGATGATGTCTACCCTGAAATTTTATTTCTACTCACACATTAAAAAAAGTTATATTGTTAACATATATATATCTACTCTAAAAAAATATTTATGATTCGCCATTGAATCTCAAGTCATTCTCAAATTTTTTGGATCTGATAGCAATTTAAGTAATTGTAAGTTTAAATATTAAACAATACCTTCTGAATTTTAAGTTTAAATACACAATAAATCATTTTATTTTTCTTAAAAACTTCAACATTTATCAATATTTAATCTAACTCCGTCTCTAATTGACAACTATGGTATCTAATATTTTCTTAATATGAATAATTATTTTAATTTAATACACACAAAATATTACCTTTCTTAATTTGAATCAAATTCAAAATATGGTAATTAATCATAACTTTATTCTAATCATATTCATTTTCATCATTATATCATAAATTTACTTCGCAAATTCAAATCTTTCCATAATCATGTATCTTTTATATATGGACGTTGTTAAAAATTCTATTAGGAGCAATGGGTCAAATTGTAATTTTACCGATGAGTTAATTTATAATTTCACAATTTCTTAATCTCTTATACATGTTACGCATGTGATATTATCAATTTTAATATAGTATATAAAATTAAAAAAAATTCTAATAGAAATTAAATTAAATAAAACTGTGTTATGCAACACTAATATATATATATTTTTAATTTCAATTCAAAATATAAATAAATTTGAAAAGTTTAGGGCACAATATCTTTAGAAAATAATTCTCTACTTTATTTGTATTCCTTCCCAATCTTCTCAAGTTTTGGCTGATTTCACGTTGGGTGTTTCTTCAATCTATAAGAATATGTTATTCGAAATTATCTGATTTAACTATATATTGATTAATAAAATAAATAAATAATCAAATTAAATCTTTATATATATATATATATTATTTTTATGCAATATAAAATTTTTATTTGTTTGGATAAATTTATTTTGCATTATCAAAGGGAAAGCAGCAAACACTAATGAGGGATCAATTTTGGATCCCCAAGCAGTACAAAGAAAAAGATTAATAGAATCATTTCTAACTATTTTTCTATACATTTTAATTCTAACATCCTTGATACAAGCAACAATATCCCCTGTACACCTAGTCGTCCCCCTAAACCTCCTAAAGTTCCTTTCCTCCCATATGTAGTAAACATAAGCACACCAAGCAACCCTAAGGATGAAAAAAATCAAGGATTTGCCTTTCAAAACTACCACAACCCAGACAACCTAACCATTTAAATTCCTCACCTCTCGATGAACATTACACAGCCTGAGAATGACCCCACATACATCCCTCGCGTAATCACTCAAAAAAAATATGATCCCTGGTCTCCTACATTCCCCCACAGTTCCTACAAATATCATCAACATGAATACCCATCCTAAGCATTCTGTCAGAAGTGGACAGCCAATCCAGGATTACCATCCAACCAATGATAGAATGTTTAGGACCATTCATTAAAAACCACAACATGTGCCACGCAACCTTCTCCCTCTTGTCCCTTATCTCATTCCAAAACTACCTAGTCTTCATCATCGATCAGTTAGCAGCAACAAAAGACTAAGTCTCACTTCTTATCTTCAGAATTCTCCCCATATCTCAACTGAAATTAAATTTGCATGCCACTTGCATACATCTAAATCCTTGAGTACGTACTCACGAACCCAAGCCACCCACAAGGACCCCTCTCCAGCAAGGATCTTCTTCAATAAGGAAAGCATACAAGCTTTATTCTAATACTTTAAGCTATTGATTCCTAACTCCCCTTAATATTTAAGAACACAAACACTGTCACAGCTCACTCTAACCCCTCTAGCAGGGACATCCTTACCTTTCCAAAGAAATCGAGCACATAGCTGCTCAACTCGATCTACCACAACAGTAGGCTAAACAAGTTGCCTGTACAAAAAATAAGCCATATTTCCAGCATTACTAAGAAACATATTTAACCAATGTCTCAGCTTTGCCTTTATATTCTCCACCAAACTATCATAGTCCTTCATTGTCAGCTTCAGAGGGGTAAAAGGCACCCCCAAGTACCTAACAAGCAACCTCCCAAGCTAGAGCCTAGTTACAGTCTGAATGAGCCCCAACTGATCAATAGACCCCCTGAAGCAAACAGTTCAGACTTTGTAGCATTTAGTCTCACCTGAAAACTCATAAAACTTCCTAAGTACACACTTAACTCCCAAGATATAATCAAGAGTGCCTTTACAAAAGATTAGAAGATCATCTGCAAAACATTGATGAGACAATCTGTACACTTAGGATGATAGTTAAACACCCCCTTATTCATAGTTTCATTCAATAACCCAGCCAAGACATTCATTGTAAACACAAAAAGGTAAGGGGAAAGAAGATTCACTTGCCTTACACCCCTTTTACCTCTGAAATTCCCAACCAACTACCATTGAGAGAGAGAGAAAATCTAAAATCAGTGATACATGCCTTTATCCAGTTCCTAAACTTCATAGACATCCCCAAAGCATCCAACACATCCAAAATAAAATCTCAAATAAGGGAATCAAACACCTTCTATAAGTCCACCTTAATGGCATACCTAGGAGAAAGTGTTCTCCTGCCATACCCCCCTCACAAACTCCTGAGCAAGTAAAATATTATCTACTATGCTCATACTCTTCAAAAAAGTTGACTGATTGGGAGCAACCAACCTAGGGAAGTAATCAGCAAGACTGGTAAATAGAACCTTTGTAATGGTTTTATAAACTACAAAGTAATAAGAAATTGGCTTGTATTCTTTGGCTCTACAAGTGTTAGGAAGCTTTGGCACCAAAGTTAAAGCAGTTGCATTAAAAGCAGGAAGAAGATCAGAAGTGGAAAAAAATGCTTGACTACTGCAATAAAGTCAGCTCCAACAAAGTACTAGGCTGCTTTGGAAAACCCTGATGTGAATCCATCAGATCCAGGTGTCTTATCCTTACTTTGACTGGAGATGGAGGCCTTAATATCATTCTTAGTAACATCTTTAATGAGGTTTTCCCTACCTTCAACATGGACAACAACCTTAAGCAAACCTCTCAAAACATCCATATTGCACCTCTTTACATTTTCATCACTGGCTTCAATATGCTTAGTAAAACATTGCACAAACTCTGAAGCCATGGAATCAAAAGTCTCCATCCTGTTACCATCATTATCAAGCAAAATCCTAATGGTATTCCTCTTCTTCATATCAACTTGAGAGTTAAATAATTTTGTACATTGATCCCCTTTTTGGATATAATCAACCTTGGTTTTTTTGTTGATAAAACAACTTTTCAGCCTGCTCAAGATCAGCTAACTCTAACCATACTACTTCTTCATCTCAATATTCACCAAACAAGGATAAAAAAGGACCAAAACCTACTGCCTCTCCCATTGATCCCTTTTAACAACAACCCTCCTAGAAATTTCAGAAAAAATTCCTTGTTTAACTCCTTCAATCTAGACTTAAGCCTCTTCAACTTGTAGAAAAGAACCTACATAGGATCCCCCTGAGAAGCCTCACGTCAAGAGATACTAACAATGCTCCTAAACTCAGGATGTAAGGTTCAGAAATTGAAAAACTTAAAATGCTTTAGCCCAAAAGACATACCCTTCTCATCACACCACACCGCAATCAAGCAGTGATCAAAATCACCATGAGCCTTAAAATCCAAATAAGTGCCAGAAAAATAATCAAACCTACAAGTATTCACCAACACCCTATCAGTTTCCTAGCAAGAAAGATAACATCCTGTTTATTTAACTAGGTATTGAGAAGGCCAAAGTAAGGATGATCCACTAAACCCAAGCTCCCCAAACAGTTCTGAAAATCCTCCATGTTTGGAGTAACATGAGCACCAACCACATCAAAATTAGAACTTTCCTCAACACTAGCAGTGATATTAAAGTCCCCATCAATCAATCAAGGGAGCCCACCAACCCTTACTGCAACATCCTGCAACTGATTCCAAAGGTCCTCCCTAATAAACCCATAATTACTACCATATACAACAGTAACAACAATATCTTTGCTATGTAACCTTCCTTGAATAGAAACAATTTGACTAGCAATCTGAACAACAGTAAAATTCAAACTCTTCTTCCAAAAGATCTATATCCTCACATTCTCAACACGATCATAATTCAAACAATACTCCCACACATCAACATATTTATAAGTAAACAGCAGGGGCATTACTATACCTAATCCTAGTTTCAATCAAACAAAAAACTTCCACATTAAGTCTTTCAATCCTATACATTACTCTAGTTTGCTTTTTAGGGTGATTAAAACCCCTTACATTCCAAAAAAAGACATTCATCAAGCACTGGCAAGAGTCATACCTCTGCTGAACTAGCAACCTCACCACCAGACTTCTTGCCCTTCTTTACTGGATCTTCATTCTTAGCTTTCATCTCATGAAGTATGGCAGCCACTCAATGAGAAGCGAATCGAGGCTTCCTTCCACCAACCACACCCTCTTCTAAGGTAAAACCAAGGATCTCAAATGATTGAATGAACTAGCAAACATAGTTTTTCCTTTATCTCATTTTTCTCCTACCTTGCTTCTTTTGAGAACGAGTCACACTTTTAACAACACTCTCCTCAGCCTCTAAGACCCCCTCCCTCGCCCCTGGCACACTTGACCCTCCTTCTTAACCCCCGAATCCACAATAGCAAGAACATCACTCCCTTTCCCCTCAACCTAAACTAGAGCAATTGAAGATGACTCACCAACCACCCCGACAACTTCTTTTTGTTTCTTAACCCTCCATTCTTTACGACATGTCTTTTCCTTAACACAGGTCTTATCAAAATGGTCATAAGATTTACAATAAGAGCATCAAAGAGGAAACCATGGAACCACAACCTTAACCACCCCCAAAGATCATTCCCTCATCTTGATTGAGATAGTGTTCGACACCTTACTCCCTTCGTCCACCTCTACGCAGACTTTAGCATATTCTAACCGCTCCTTATATGTTGTGATAGAGTCCATATACAATGGATTCCTAAGTGCACTCGTAATATAGCTAATCCCTTTCTTCGAATACAATTCCAGAGGAACATTAAAAAGTTGAATCAAAGTCGAAGTTCTTACCAAATCAAAGTCAAGCTTTGCCAAATACGACTCCCATTTCCTTAAAACCAATGGTTTATGTTGAATGTGTCAGGGACCACTCTCCAAAACCCAATCCCTAGTGGAGACATTGGCAAAAGAGAACACATACAAGTTGGAGCCCGTGAGACTAACCTTGACCATCAAGTTCTTCCCCTATATCATCTCCATAATTTTTTGTGTTGCACCAAAATTTGGGGCATGCCAATGAATTGCCCTACCAATGAGAATCGCCGCTTCGAAATTCCCTCGTTAAAGACATTTGTTGGAGGGCTCATCGTTGAAGAACCATCAAAGACTTCAAGGGAAAGAAATCCAAAGACTGTTCTTCTACAATAGAGAATAACTCCCTTTGATCCATAATCGAAACCCCCATCAATCAAATAAAAAACCCAGAGGGAAATCCATCACTCTTACAGAAATCCCCAGCAAACCCTAGATACCCCACCAGAAAATCCCCAAAACAGTAGATCGACTATCAAAGAGAGAAACGATTACGAGAAAATCCTCAAAACAATATGCTTTGTATTTTTATTCCAATATAATTTTTTTTAGTGGATGTAAACAAGTACTTATATGTAAAGAAAAAAAGATCTTAAACTTAAACTATCAAATGAATAAAATTCGAACATATATATACTTGATTAAAATAGTTTTTATTTCTAATTTGCATAAGAAAGGTTAATTTAAACACAAACTCAAACATAAATTTAAATATGGATAATAAAGTTTGGAACGGAAAAGAATATGAACTAGGTAGTACGTGTGTATATTTATTATATAATTGAAAAAAATAAAATAGATTTTTTTACAAGATGAAATTACAACCATAAGACTAAACACATAACAGAAATGGTTTTCTAAAACTAAAATCATAATAGAAATATTTTATGATAATCATTAATACAAGAAGCTAATCACTTAATATTACTAAAGGGTCACACAAAGAAAATATTAAAAAAATTATCGAATAACCTTGAACTAAAAGTAGATACAAATATATTTGACCGCATCGACAAAGGAACCAGAAAATGAGATGAAATTATTGAAAGACCACCGGTAAACCGTAAATCAGAATCGAGCGACGTAAAATCTATCTACGAATGCAAATTGTGTATCCAAATCTAATTTGAGTGTTCAAAACAGGAAAGATCAACATGATAACAAACCACAAACGGAGATCAAATTATTGAAAAATCATCGGTAAATCGTAAATCAGAATTGAGTGACGTAAAAACTATCCATGAACACAAATCGTGTATCCAAATCTAATTTGAGAGTCCAAAGCAGGAAATATCAGCACGATAACAAATAAGTGTTATCTTGATTAGTCGTGACGATGTCAAATCTATCCCTGAGAAAAATGATACACAAAAATAACGACCAAACGACCGAAAACATGCTAAAAGACAGAGAAAAATATGTCATAAAGATAGAGTTATTAAAAATTAAAAAACAAGAAAAAACAAAGATACAATATAATAAAATAAAGATAAAGAAGAAAAAAACAATGAATACCAACTATTAATGATCAGTACAAAATTGATGTCGCATTCGATCACAAAGAGAAAGAAGAAAAAAGCCTAATGATGACCTAAGAGAAAGAGAGAAAATTAGGCTCGAAAACTCGATTTAATTATAAATTAGATTTTCTGATGTATGAAATTTTAGACATCAAATATCAAATTAATTTTTAAATGAAGCTGTTTTTTGGATTCAATATGCATTGTTCCCAATTACTTATCCATTATGTTGCCGTTCCCAAAATTCAAAGTAAAATACAATTCGTTTAAATTCCATACATTTGAAATAAAATCTTGAGCACTTGATTCCTCCACAAAGTTCTCTCGTACTCATGGGCACCTACAGTTTGCTTTTATTCTTCGAAATGCTTCCTAATGCCTTGGCCTTCTCTCGTAGAACATATTTCTGTGTCTTTCCGGTCGAAGTCTTGGGCAAATCCTCGAAAATCACCGTTCGAGGAGCCATGTAATGTGGCAAGTTGTCTCGACAATGCTTGATAATCTCTTCGGCACTGACTCTGTACCCGTCCTTCAACTTCACAAATGCACAAGGTGTCTCCCCCCAATAATCATCTGGTCTTGCCACCACAGCTGCCTCCACTACTGCCGGATGGCTATAAAGCACCGATTCGACTTCAATTGAGCTAATGTTTTCTCCCCCGGAGATGATTATGTCCTTCGACCGGTCCTTGATTTCTATGTATCCATCAGGGTGTCTCACTGCCAAGTCCCCACTTCGGAACCAGCCACCCTTAAAGGCATCCTCTGTTGCTTTTATGTTCTTAAGGTATCCATTCATGATTGTGTTGCCTCTAAACATGACTTCACCTATACTTTTTGTAGACATCATTTTTTTCATTTAAATTTATTATTATTATTATTAAAATTATTATTATTATTAGTATTATTATTATTATTATAATTATTATTATTATTATCATTATTTATTATTATTATTATCAATATTATATATTATTATTATTTAATAAATAATTACAACTGGACCGGCCCAGTTACAAACCAACCAGAACCGGTCCAGACAACCAGAAACCCTAAACGATTAGTAAGGTTTCAGCTAGGGTTTCTAAACCCTAGCCACCCCCAGCCGCCTCTGATGCTTCCAGAATCCCAGCCGCCTCTGATGCTTCCAGAATCCCAGCCGCCTCTGATGCTTCAAGAATCCCAGCCGCCGCCTCACTGCCAGGTGGTCCAATGCCCCACTGCCGACGCCTCCACCGCCATTGCCGACACTCCATAACGTCGAGAAGCTACCCACGTTGAGCCCTATGGTGAGTCACCACCATAGCTATGGTGACTCACCGGGCCTTTCATCTCTGGAACCGGTCCAACGAGAGCCTCGGTGGTGGCTATAAAAGCCACCCCACCTGCAAGAAAGAAGAAAGACAGCCACAGACGGCAGAGAACGACAAGAAAAAAAAAACAGAAAAGAAAAAAACAGAGAAAGAGAACACAGCAACCAACAAAGCAAGAACTACACCAACGATCCCAGGAAATACAAACCAAAAGAAGAGAAAAAGAGACTTACCGAGAAAATCGCCGTCGTGAGAGCCTCCACAAATCATCAGAGAACCAAAACGTCGAAGAGAAATATCCTAGATCTACGACGATTGGTAAGGTTTTAAGCTAAAATAACCTTAGATCTAGATATAGAAAACAGAGGCTTTGATTTGGGGTGGGTTTTGTAATTTCCGGCCACCGCTAACGGTGGCCGGCGGCAGCAATCGGAGCCCGACAGCGGTGGCTGACCGGGCCGGCTTCTCTCTAATTTTAGAGAGAAGCCAGAGAGAAATCTTCTTCTCTCTGTTAGAGAAGAAGAGAAATGAAGAAATGAATGGTTGGCCCGAAGGGCCAACCGGTTTAGGGTTTATAAACCCTCTTACATACGACGTCGTTTAAGGGGGAGGGGTATCTGTGTAATTAACTAAAGGTTAAACCCTTTCAGTAGCCATCTAAACTTGTAACTCTTACATTCTAGTCACTAAATCAAATTTATAATCCTTTTAATTCGGTCCTTTAATTTTAGATTTATTTATTTTAGTCCTTTCTATTAAATAATATATTTAGGATAAATACGTATTTAGTCCTTTAGTTTTAATAAATAATATTTTAATCCCGAGTATATATTTTTAATTTATTTTAAATCTGATATTGAATTTTTTTTTATTTTATTTTAGTCATCAAATTAATAAATAAGGAAAATAGCATTTTAATCCCTATAATTTTAAATAATTAATTATAAATTAGGTATTTAATTTTATTAGATTATAATTTAGTCCCTAAGTTAAATGTTTTCATTTATTTTACGAGCTTTATTATTTTTTTATTGTATTTTAAATATTATTCAATCATATGTTACCTTTTTTTTTATGTTCATACATATTTAATTATCATTACTATTATTATTATTATTCTTTATTAATTATGTCAATATATATAGTCTTATAATTATATATAATATTTATTTATTCTATTTTCCTATTTATAAATTTAATTTTATAAATTACTTTTAAGAAAAATAATTATATTTTGATATTTATTTATTTTTAATATCAAAGAAAAAAGCTTTTTCTGATATTTTTTTGAATAAATAATACTTACTATATTTAAAATGTTTTTTTTTATTTATAAATATTAAATAAAAGAGCTGTCTTAAAGCACCTAGAAGCACTTTTCTGATATTTCTAAAAAGTAAATATATTATTTATGTATATTAATATTTTCTTTAAAATTTTGAAATAGTAGAATTATAAATTAAATATATTTTTGAATTTTTAAAATTTTAATAATAGAGACAATTTATAGTTAATAAAGTACCAATTTTGGGCGTTATAGGGGTGCTAATCCTTCCCTAAACGTAACCGACCACGAATCCCTTTTTATTATTAAAAAGAACGAATTTTTGGTTAAAACGCAGATCAATTTATCTTTTAATTGATGTTTTCTTAAAAACTCTTTTAAAAGATATTTTTAGGTATTCGACCTACCTGATCCAAAAGGCCGATGGCGACTCCCAAATTTTTCAAAACCATTTATTCATATCACTTTTCCCGCCAAACAAATAAATTCGTGCCCGGACGAAAATCGGTTACGACAGCTTGGCGACTCCGCTGGGGAACTGTCAAACTTCAAAATTAATTATAAATTGTCTCTATTAATTAGAAATTAAAAATTCATTTATTTAATTTTTAATTCTTTTCTTTCAAATTTTTATTATTTATTATTTATATATTAATATTGTTTTTTTATTCAGGTATTAATTATTTTATTTATCTGTTAGAGGTTTGAGCATTTCTCCTCACACACAACACTTGCATTGCATAACATAAAGCTCTATAATTGAGTTGTCCCTTTTAAGTGGGAGTGAAAGCGACGTCTTCGTGAGAATTTATTCTCCGTGTCAGACCTAGCAAGTAACTTTTGGGGTTCATATGCTCTATGTCTTCGTGAGAATTTTATTCTCCGTGTAGTCATAGAGAAATGTATCCCCTCGAATTGAACTCGATCCGTTTAAGTCTATAATGGACTATGATCGAGGGTTTGATAGCCCAAGGGGGCATCAACAAGAACAATTCGAGTACCTTTACTCCTAGAACTGAAACTCTGCATATAATGAACCCTAGAAATTCTTCTGATCTAAGACAATACTGAACCTCTGTTCATAGGTATACACAAAGGAGAAATAAGCTCTAGCTTTTAATTTATTTTATTTCCTTTTCATTTTCCTGAATAAATGCATGTGAACTAGAAATCGTGCGGTTAAGTTAAATTTTCCAAACAAAGCATGGAACTAGAAAGCACGAGGTTAAGATTTATACATTGATATACAGTTTTTTTTAGTTGGTACTAACTATTCTATTTTTTTTCATGTATATTACATTGCTCTAACTTGTTTATATTTGATTTCTTTTGTTTGCATTACATGATCATGGCATAACCAAAAGGTGTTTACTGGAAAGACTGTTCATCATATTGGAAAGAAATCGTAAATGGACAAAAAGTTTTATGATCAAACAAAATATGATGCGGCCAAAGAAAGACATCCTGAGGAAACTCCAAGGATGGAAGCAAGCAAAGCACACAGAGATCCTGTTATATTAATACCAAAAGTAATCCATAAAGATTCTGCCAGATTGATACCAAAAGCAGTCTATGGTAAGAGTATCAGTCGGGACATTCAGAGTAATGGAGATTTTTATGAAGCTCAAGCATGTTATTTGAAGGACTTGAACGACCAAAATGAGAAATTGAGCACAGAAATGAAAACCATGCATGAAGATTTTCAGAAGATCAGTCAAACCTTTCAAAATGCTGGCCTAGGAAGTACCCCAGAAGAATGGATAACAGGGGTCACCAAGCTGAAAAAGAACTGCAACATATATGAAGATCTTATTCAAGAACTCCTTGGACAGAAAAGATCTCTTACAAGGGAAAATGAGCAACTCCGAGAAGTGACACAGAAGATTAAGGAGAATGTCATGGAAGAAGTTGCAGTCCAGACAAACAATATGTCCCTTAAGCTGATAAACTAATTTGGCTTTGGAGAAATTAGGAATAAAATATCCCTATATGTAAAGTTTTGTTTGATGTACCGAAACTTTTGTGTTCAATGAAATCTGTTCTAAGATGATCACTCTTGAGTAACACCTTTTCATGCATACATTTGTATTTTACATCCTTGCATTTTTCATTTTGCATTTATACTGTTATGTTTGCTTTTGTATTGCACAATTTGTATTCTTATTATTACAGTCACATATTTACATTTACATTTGCATTTGACATCTTTGCATTTTTTTTTTGTCATAATACATTAAAACATTCATTAAAATAAGGATTTCAAACGAAGTGATCTTGGTTTTTCCTTGAAGCAAGAACGCTCAGCACGACACAAGGAAAATGTCTAAAGAAACTGAAGATAGGCTAGCCAAATTTGAGATAAAGCAGAAAGAAATACAAGAGGAATTGAGGAGTAAGTTGGCACAAATCGAAGCTAATTCTCAGGTCGATCTACTGAACAATATGAAAGAAATGATTGAGAAGCATTTGACTGCTAGAAAGAATCTTATTGAAAACTCCACAAATCCTCTGGGTATTACGCCTGCTCATATTCCTAAGCACACCTCTGTACGTCAGGAAATCCAATCACCAGTTCACTTCACTGTTAAGAAACAACAATATCAGGCAGGAGTTTCGTTCCCTACTGACTGTCTTACTGCTTCTGGGTTAAAGCCAAATGAATTCTGTACTATTTCTAGAGAGACGGTTGAGTCATTTTATGAGTTTGACGCCAAAGAACTGAACTTGGTCCCCGACTTAATTCTTCCACCAAATTTTAAAATTCCAGATTTTGAGAAGTATAATGGGACCACATATCCTGAATATCATATCACTATGTACTGTCGTCGTATGAATGGCTATGTAGAGAATGAAAAATTGTTGATCCACTGTTTCCAAGACAGTTTATCCGGGTCTGTATCCAAATGGTATAATCAGTTAAAACGTACTCAAATACGTTCTTGGAGGGATTTAGCTCAAGCTTTTTTGGGTCAATACAAGCACATGACTGATATGGCCCCTGATCGAATAATGTTGTAAAGCATGAATATGAAGTGTAATGAAAGCTTTCGACAATATTCACAACGATGGAAAGACGTTGCTTCTCAAGTACATCCACCATTGACTGAAAAAGAGTTCATTACTTTGTTCATCAGCACATTAAAATTTCCTTATGTTAATCACATGATAGGGGTTGTCCCTAATAATTTCTCTGACATCATCATAATTGGAGAAATCATCAAAATGGCTATCAAGAA